GCCGGCTTCCTCAAGCCCATCCTTCGGGGCATCTTGATGACCTCCCATTCGCCGGGTCTGGTGGCTCTGTTAAAACTGGCCAACTTGCTGACTCGGGCATGTGAAATCAGGGAAGCCACCTGGATGTTTTTTTTCTCGAGGTCCGTCCAGAACTCTCCGGGCAATTTGCTGCATCTCTCGCAATAAAAGGCACAGGATCACTTCAAGACACGACTTCATCGGGCGGGTTTTTTTCAAGCGTCCCTGTCACAACTGTTGCAAGCAAGAAAGGCTCACGGGTCGATTTCGGAATGCAGCTGCCAACTCAGGAGGGGGTCCGGGGGTGCCGCTTGGGTCTTCGCCAAGTAAGAACTGCTCTTTCTGTCGGGATCGTCCACTGTGCAGGTCCGATCTTGGCTTGCAGTTTCCACATCAACGGCCGACATGCAGTGTCATATGATGATGACTCCAGCAAGGTGTTGAAGAATGTGCATGAGGAAAATTATTGTTTGCCAATAGGGCCATTGTGGCATTGAAGACTTGGAAGATTTGAGAGCTTGAGTGTTGGCCACCCCCGCAGAATATTTGAGAAGTCTTGGTGGTGCGCAAATCCCACCGGAAAGAGCCCCTCGCCGTAGCCCGCCTTTTTGCTTTTTTTACTACAAGCCCTGAAGAGGACATAGGATGCAGACTTAGTGATTTGTCTTCAAGGTTGTCATCGGCTTCAGCTCATCGCTAGCCAGATGTTTGATGCATGGGAATGTGTCAAAATGAGCCACAATCAGAACCCGGGTAGATGAAGGTTAGTAAGGGACAATCCCAACGATAAATAGCTGCTGCCGCCTTCTTATTTCTTGAAGCATGGTTCTGGGTCGACCATTTGAATACCGGGGTTTGAGCAAGTGACTCAACTAGGGTCCCGGACGCCCTTCTTTGGGTTGCTTTCCTTTTGGCTTCCCGTTCATTTTTCTTGGGCGCCCCTGCAGGCAGTGTGCCTGCTGCCCGTGCACGGCGCCTCTCGGCGGATGTCTGTGTGCTGGAACTCGAGGCACGCTCGCTCCGGCGGTTGGCCTTCGGGAGTCAAGGTGTCATGAATCTAGGGGTTGATTCCGATTCCGTTCTTTGCAGCCATCGTTCTTTTCAAGAACCGAGCGCCATTTCCCCAGGGTTTTTGGTGGTTTTCTAGAAAGAAGGATCCCTGGAAAGAATGGAATTGGAAGGTACCCCTAGAATGAAGTCTTGCGTCCTCTTGCCACTATCGGCCTGACTGAGTTCGGAGTGAGGCTGACTTTAATTCAGATTTTCTGTGACGAGCACAAGCGCACCGCAACATGATGGGTCTCCAGCTTCATCTCAGTGGAGCCAAGTTTGCTCCCCTAAAGTCATTGCAGTGCTCCCAAGTTGACTTGCAGTGACTTGAGCAGCATGGCTCTCAAACAGATATAGCGAGTTTTAGGTCGTCATAGTGGAGTCCAAAGCTGATGAATCTTTGCTGTATTTCGCCCTACGTGAGACAGCGAGTTGTTGGTTGTTCTGGAGTCTAAGGCTGAAAAGCCTTCGCTACACCACGCCCCCCCGCCTGTGATATAGCGCGTTGTTCGTCATAGTGCAGGCGAAAGCTGCTGCACGTTGGCTATATCAAACCCCGATCTTGTGATGCTGCGAGCGTTTCGGAGGGCTCGCTCTCGCCCAAACCCGGAGAAAGCCAGTGGGATGGACGAAATCCTGCACCACCCAAGAAGCCCTGGTTTGTGATGAAACGAGTCTGTTTCAATGGTTTCCAGGTGGTACGATCTCTGCATTTTGCAACCACGCATCCACAGTTTGCAAGTCTCCTTCTCGCAAAGCTACGTTAGGCCATTCTCAGCCCTTGCTGGTACTCAGGGAATGAGGGAATGAACCTCGGGGGGTTATTCCATTTCTGAGGGCCCCGATCGCATCTCTCGCACTGATCTCTCGCATGTTCCCGCATTTCTGTGGATGGACAAAATCCATTTCGCACCACTTTGAGGCCGTGGTTGAAGCCATTGTTTGTTGGTGTTTACAGTCGAATCCTCATTCTACGGTTTCTTAGGTGGTGCGAGAAGCGGATTTCGCAACCATCCACCTTTAGGGCCATGATGGGCCTTTACGTGTTCCCCGTTCCCATCACCAATCCAACACCTTCATTCGCTGTTCGTGCACGGAGACCTTTTCCAAAGCCCTCCCTTCAGAAATGGGGGGGGGGGGGTACCCCCCTTTTGGGTTGGTTTAGAATTTGAAAGCACCTTTGGGCCCCCCGTATGGTGGACACTTAGGGTCTATTTTGCAACCTCCTCTTTTAGGGTAGTAGTTTTTTTAGGGTATGTTTGCAAGAATAAACTCCAGGTGTCCATGGCACGCCTTTGGCCCCCTAGCCCCCCCCCGTTCCGCGTCCAGGACGGGCGGCTTTGCTTCGCCTTCGCCTTCGGCTCCATCGTCTCCTGGGGCCTCACCTGGATGGAGCTGCGCCGCCTGCGGCGGCTCATCCGGAAGTCCGCAGGACTTTTTTTCGGCGGCGGAGTTTTCTTGGGTCTGCGGTCAAAGGGGTTGGGTTGGGGGGTTGGGTTGGGGGGGGTTGGGTTGGTGGTTGAAGGGCTTGGGGGGGGTTGGGGGCGGGTTGGGGGCGGGTTGGGGGGGGGGCTCTGGGGTAAGATGGCGTGGGGGGGGGGCCAAGACTTTGAGCCCGGCTGGGTGGCCAAACGGGCCTGCGTAAGAAGCTCTCTGGGTAGAACACTCAAGAGGTTTGAGGGAGGGTTTCTGTTGGGATTGCAAGGTCTCGCTTCTGGTTTACGACCAGCAAGCCAAGATGAGTTGGGGATCCCGTTCATGTGAACGATGAATCCATTTTGCCCTCCCTCCTCCTTTGCTCGGTCCGAGCAGCGGTCAAGGGTCACTTCCATATGGAGAAGCCGAGTGGTTTGCAACTTGCGATGCATGCTACTCTCAGTGGGGAGCCCTTCAGGGCCTCAGGGCTCCCCAATCTCCCCATGTGGTTTCAGATCATATCGCCTTCCAGTGAGTTTCCTTTCGGGAAGGGAATGTAGGGATGTCTGTTTGGTCCTCTTCCCAACAGGGCGATCGGATCAAACTGGGGGCAGCCTACTGTGGATGGACGAAATCCTGCATCACCTAAGATACCCTGGTTTGTGATGATTCGCCTGTAAATGTCAACAATGGCTTCAACCAGGGTTTCCAAGTGGGTGCGAATTCTGGATGTTGCAACCACGCGATCCTTGGGTCAGCCGGTCACTTGAGTGACCAGTCGTTCAGTTTTGTAAAACACAAACAAACACACACACACACACAACAAATGGGCGTGTCTTTTATTAGGGGACCCCCCAACCCCAAACAGATATCGTGGTTTTCCTTTTGGTTTCCCTGCAGAACCACTAAAAATGTGGGTGAAATCCACCGATTGCAACTGGGGAGGCTCAACAGATTTTCTGGAATCAAAGCCGTGGGCAGTCACTCCTTACGTGCCTCCCGGAAGAACCCTGAGGCTAAAACATCCCCAACAGGATACAAACCATGCGATCCCTTGACCATGGCTCGCTTCGGGGTCTGTCTTGAAGTTGGGGTCCCAACATTTGGACATGAATCAGGACCCATCGACTTCTGTCCACTAAAGGATTCCTCATTCACATCCACTCGAGAGCCCCGACATATCCCCTTGCCATACCGTCGAGTTGAAGCACATCAACTGAAGCGCAGAGAGTTCTGGGGATCCGAACGAAACCGAACGCGCCCAGGGGTTTGGATTAGCCCTGGTTTTCGAGTCCAAGCTTTGGACGACTTGTAACGAGTTACAAGTCGTCCAGGTCGCCCTCCGCCTGAAGTTGCCGATCCCCCGAGCCTCCAAGCAGGTGTTTTCGAGATAGATCTCGGGAGTTTCAGTGTGCAGGCAGATTCGCGACCCCTGCTCCGAAGACCTTTTGTTTTTTGGCCAGGGTGAATCACGAGAAAAATCAAGAGATCCCCTCCAAATATACGGCGGGGTTGATTGGTTGCTTCCATTGGCTGAAAGGAGTATATATATATATATATTTAATATTCCCTTGATGGCTCTACAGGGAATCAGGCACAAAAGCAAATGGAAGGTTGTTATGTCCCCAAACAGCTTTAGATGTAGATGTGCGGATCTTGGATCGTAAAGGTGGCCCGACCTAGCAACTTCATGTTTTTTTCTCTTGGTCAAGCGTATTGTGTCGAGACACCGATTGGTTGCAACCATGGAACATACCGATCCCTTTTTGAGTAGGGTCGACACCATAGCCTACCAACTCAAAGTAGGCCTTGGGCCACGGGTCTTTGCGGCTGAAGGCACTTTGGTGCCAAGTTGCTGTCGACTTGACATCTGCTTCCGATCGTCAACATACCGATTCGGGTTATGTATGGCAAAACGCCGATCAAAAGTGCTGGGTTAGCTTTTGGCCGTACAATTGATGTCGCGGGCTTTCGAAACATGCTTGCTAGCCTCCCAACATAGTGTGGTCGCTTGAGTCATCGAAAGCTTGCGGTTAGGTCAGGCGTCAGGTCAGGACGTAAACGTTGCCTTGGCCTACTGAAAGTGTTTGGACCGTGGGGACCTATCGGCTTCTGTCCGACGGGCTCATCAAGATTCACATCCCGGGAGCCCTGACATACCCATTGCACCTCGATGGCTTTAAAACACACACCAGCTGCCAGTCAAACAAAGCACAGAGAGTCCAGGAATGAAGGAAGACACACAAATCCTGGTTTTAAGTCCCCCACGCACAGAAAACTTGTAACCCAGAGTTATAAGCAGTCGGGGTCACCATCCCCCCGTCAAAGTGACCAATCGCCCGTTTTCGACATGGATTGCGGGAGTCTCAGTGTGTGGCAAACATGTTTATGCTACCCCTGCTCCGATTACCTGGTTTTCTTTAGTTGTCACTTTTTTAAAAACCTGGTTCTCTAGGAGGGTAAATACTTTCTTTTGTAGAAATTACAAGGTTGACATCATACGCTGAATGAAGCGGGTGTTGTGTGTCGGGTGTATGGGCAACCAGGGCAACCAAGGGAATGTCCGACTGTACCTTCAGTTGGTTTCGGCTGCTCAGTGGCTCAGTCGGTAGTCGCCCGCCTCTGCGAACTGCAAATTCGGTGCCATGCAATTGCATGTGTACTTGGCGAGTGGAAGCAGCTGCTGTGTTGCACTGCCTCCCGAGTCGAGCGTTCGTGAACTGAAGGTTGAGGCGCAACAGCAGCTCGAGCGCCGCTTTCTGAGGCTCCTTTTTGGAAGTGAGAAGCTGGACCCATCGCGCACTCTTGCTGAGGTGGGCCTGCGAGACGGGGACAGCATAATTGCAATCGCGCAGCGCGCGAAGCTATCTTCCACTCGGCGAGCGTTCGCGCTTTATGTTGAAGGAGGCTCTGTGCTGGCTTGGGGTGATCCTGGCTGTGGTGGTGACAGCAGCCAAGTACGAGAGCAGTTGGTGCAGGTCCAGCAGATTCAAGCAGCTTCGACTGCTTTTGCTGCCATCCTGGAAGATGGGTCCGTTGTGACTTGGGGCGATCCTGTCCATGGCGGTGACAGCAGCCAGGTTCGAGAGCAGTTGGTGCAGGTCCAGCAGATTCAGGCCACCCTGCGTGCTTTTGCTGCCATCCTGGCCGACGGCTCTGTGGTGACCTGGGGCGATCGTGGCTTTGGCGGTGACTGCAGCCGGGTGCGAGAGCAGTTGGTGCGGGTCCAGCGGATCCAAGCAACTCAGAATGGTTTTGCTGCCGTCCTGGAAAATGGTTCTGTTGTGACTTGGGGCCATCATATGTATGGCGGTGACAGCAGCCAGGTGCAAGAGCAGTTGGTTCAGGTCCAGCAGATCCAAGCAACTGACGGCGCGTTTGCTGCCGTACTGGAAGATGGGTCCGTTGTGACTTGGGGTCATTATATGTATGGCGGTGACATCAGCCAGGTGCAAGAGCAGTTGGTGCCGGTCCAGCAGATCCAAGCAACTGACGGCGCGTTTGCTGCAATCCTGGCCGACGGTTCTGTGGTGACTTGGGGCCATCCTGGCCGTGGTGGTTACAGAAACAGCCAGGTGCGAGAGCTGTTGGTGCAGGTCCATCAGATTCAAGCAACTCGGCGTGCTTTTGCTGCCATCCTGGCCGACGGCTCTGTGGCGACTTGGGGCGATCGTGACGCAGGCGGTGACAGCAGCCAGGTGAGAAAGCAGCTGGTGGAGGTCCAGCAGATTCAAGCCACCCTGCGTGCTTTTGCTGCCATCCTGGCCGACGGCTCTGTGGTGACTTGGGGCGATCGTGGCTTTGGCGGTGACTGCAGCCCGGTGAGAGGGCAGTTAGTACGCGTCGAGCAGATCCAAGCAACTCAGGGTGCTTTTGCGGCCGTCCTGGAAGATGGTTCTGTTGTGACTTGGGGCCTTCATATGTATGGCGGTGACAGCAGCCAGGTGCAAGAGCAGTTGGTGCAGGTCCGGCAGATTCAAGCAACCCAGCGCGCTTTTGCTGCCACCCTGGCCGACGGCTCTGTGGTGACTTGGGGCCATCCTGACTGGGGTGGTGACAGCAGCCAGGCGTGAGGGCAGTTGGTGAGCGTCAAGCAGATCCAAGCAACTGCAAGCGAATTTTCTGCAATCCTGGCCGACGGCTCTGTGGTGACTTGGGGCGATCCTAACTATGGAGAAAGCAGTAGGATTCAGGATCAGTTTGATTTGTTGTGAGAGAAAGTCAGCATGAGGTTTGCCTTGCTGATGTGAGAGCTCAGTGCTTCCATCGCGGGGAAAGCGGTTTGCCATGCTTTCCGCATGATAGTACATCATGGAACACGGGGCAGATGTTTTCGGTAGTAACCCTGGCTATAACCCTTACTTTCCCATTTGGCCAAAAAGCAAACTTTGGGGCCGCAATGAGTCAAGGGCCAAGCAAATTTGGCCCTCACATCGTCGGCTGCTTGGATCTTCGACCTTTTTGGTTGAACGCCCGTGTGTTTCCCGCGAACCCGCCAAAAGCTCGGGGCTTGTTGGGGCCGGGGACGCCCAGTTCAGTGGATTTCCTCTTTGTGATTCTGGCCACTCTGAGTCCGTAGATGGACGACTTCCGCCCTTGTGTCATGCGCCATTTGACCCCCATTGCCCATTGTAGTGCTTGTTTGTTTCTTACCAAATGTGCACAATGGTCTTTTCCTCCTTCCAAAAAGTATTATTCCCCCAAAAGTCAGAACCCGAAGTCAATGGATTTTGGTGGCTTGCATCGCGTTTCAGTTTCGACAGGCAACAGCCTGGTCACTGGCAGATGGAATCCGCCCACTCGGACCTTTTCCCATACCCGATGCCTCATGTTTCCCGAAGAGGTCTGTCCAAATACCCGGTGTTGTTGGTTGGTATCATTCACCTGGGAAACCAGGTGGTTCAAAAAATGCCATAAACGAAGGGAGGATATTGGAGTAGGGGACATCCCGCACAGATCCTTTATTTCTATGTGCCAACTACAAGATGCGGGTATTTGGAGATTTCGGGGGTGCTT